CATTTTCAAAATTTATTGTTATTTATTATTTTTTTTTTTTTGACATTTTGCGAGATTTTGTTAACAAGACATTGAACTCAAATTAGTGAAAAAGATTTTCGCGCAATTTTCCAAAAACTATAATGTCTTTTTTATTTTCTCTCTTTGAAAAATGATCTTTTAGAATAAAAACAAATTCTCCTTTTTTCTTCGACATTTTCATTTTTTCACGGTATGTTGTGTTCCTTTTTTCTTCCCTATTCAAACATAAAATATTAAGGACTCCGTCAATTCTAGTATGGAGCCAAGTGTTGGCCATGTCCATTTCTCATGCTTGAATTTCAACAATCACTACATCACAGAGAGAAATGATCTTGATCTTTAGGTCAAAGTAGAACTAATGCAAATGATTGTTTTAATTAAAGGTCACGAAAAATACTTGTCAAATCCATGTGTAGGAGGAACGCTACCCATATATATATATATATAAATTTTTATATATGTCCAGCCAATTAAAAGAACTACATATTTTCTAGGCACTCCTTATAATAACATCCTCAAATAATCAACAAAATTAATTATCTATTAAGAAATTAAATAAGATGAAAAAGAAATAAACTACCCAATACTAGTTAAACAATGATGACTTGAACTCTGTTCCATTTGTGCTTTAGCAGATTTCAATGTAGTAGATTGTGTATAATGTCAGACTTACATTAATGTATACAAAAATTGCACTATTATTTAACTTTTGAATAATAACTATAAAACAAGCCATTATTAATGACCCAATTATTCATTTCTCTACTATATTAAGATTTTGAAATAATCTGGCTGAGTGAGGAGCTTGGTGGGGGTGGGGGTCCTGCAAAATTGCTGAAAGGGCTTCACTACTCAGAAACTCTAATCAAATCCAAGATTGAATGGGATAGTTGCATTTGAAGGAATTTACACCACTTATGTGTGCAAATATGTCTGAAGAGTCTACCATATCCTCTTCTTTCACCACCACCTATGATCCAAAAACAATTTAAAAAAGTCAATATATCTTTTTAAAGTGATATGGTTTCTATGGCAAGACAGACTATATAATAATGTAAGTTCGAAACATAAGTTATATGTTCGTTCATATCGAGTACAAGGAAGAAGGTTATGTTGCAAAATTTGCAATCGTACCTTGCCTTGGTGATGAGGAATCTGATTAGCAAACAGACTTACATCTTCATCTGTGTCTTCTTCATGGTTGCTACCAGCAGTTCTTGCAGCTTCTCCAAGTTCATCATTCTTTGCAAACCTTCCTCTAACGCGAGGCCGGCTGTCAGCAAGTGTTTTGCGACATGCATACTGCATATATATTCGACCAAGAATTAAATAAATTCAATAAAAGTGTGTTTGATACATGATTATGTAGGATGGGATATGGACGATATCATAGATAGACATATTATATATGCTTATTTCCTTGGAGAATACCTATACTTAAAAGACATGTAACAGTTATGTTTTCGTTTCGAAACTTTTTAGATGAGTTACATTTTTTTTACTTTTTTTAAATAGAGTTAGACAACAAAATAAACACAATTTCTCATATGAGCCTTTTATTTTAAATCATGTCTAGTCTCGACCTTTCAACTTTAAAGAATAACACTATTCATAATCGCTCACTTCCGATAATCACTTTATGTGATAGTTTGTTACTTGAGGGCATTAATTTCATGTAATTTCATTGCCTTAAATAATAAGTTAATTCTCAAATAACAAACTGTTATGTAGGATGACTACAAATGGTATTAGATGAGTTGATGTGGAATTTTATTCTGAAAAAAGATTTTTGTGGTCACAGTCCCTTGGAAGGTTTTGGATTGAGATAAATACTATTTGAGAAAAAAGGGGTTCCTATCGGTCCGGTTGGCCGTTCATTTGAGATAAAAACGAGTATAAAACTTAAACTCACCGAGTAAATGGCCTTATGTTTTTCTAAGTTAAAATTGCATTTACTACAGATACCTTAAATGTGGTTCTATATGCCCCATTCCACAACTTTGCTGTGCTTTTATAGTGGAATATTGATATTCACACGGTACACATATACTATGGGCTAAAAATGAATATATGGGCACGCATACATGATACATACATCATATGCATGTAAAAATGTCACATAAACATCATATGCATGCAGTTACATGATTAAAGTAGAGAGAGAGAGAGAGAGAGAGAGAGACCTTGATTTTCTTACTGAAATTTCTTTCATTTCTTTTCTTCATGTATCTGTGGATTTTCTTTTTCCTTTCTTCAACGGAGAGTTTGCCCACCTTGAAAGTAGAATCTTCCAAGCTCGAAATCTCTGATGCCAAAGGAGTAGAATTTGGACCTCCATGTGCCATATGCTGGCTCTCATTACTAAGTGCCTTAATTTTCAAAACAAAAATGAGAACACTGTAATTTTATAATGTTACTAGTAGGACGGGATAATACTGGACGACTAAGAGTACTACTATTGTCTAGTATTGATTATAGTTGTATGAAACATGTATAGGGAGATTGTACATGTAGCATTACAATGAGAAATGTGACATTAATTCATTGGATTAGGGACAAAAAACAGTTTTGTCCCAGCCAATCCTTCTCCGCCACCTATCTCCCTGTACAAGGAGATTAATCCTAGTTATATTGTACCTGAAGGTCACTAGAGCAGTTAAAGAGCCTAGATATGGTGTCAGGGAGGAAAAGTCCACCATTATCACCCTGGAAATCGAGTTCTTGACGTGGAAGTTCAGTGCCCATAAGCAAACTACTCCCATTGGGAATTCCAGAATTTTCAGCAGAAAATGGTGGATTCATGTTGCCTGCAAGAAGATACTGTCCCATAATTGGATCCATTACTGTGCAAGAAGGCGAAGAAGACCTCAATCTCATGTAAGAAGGCATAGAAGACAAACATTCCTCATCATAAGCTGTCGGCAGTGGCAGCGGCAGCGGCGGCCCCAGGAGCGGCACCGGAGGCTCTGGCTCAGGAGGGTAGTGAGAGAGTGATCCATCCACAACATCTTCAGTTTGAATATGGTTATTTAGCAAAGAAATGTCGAATT